TTTACACTCAGCTATTAATTAAAAATAATGTTTAGATCAAAATACAGTAGAACCTCGCTTAACGAGCACCTCTCATAACGAGTAATTCGCATAACGAGCAAAACAAATTGTAAAAAAAAAAATGACTTGCTTAACAAGCGACGTTTCACATAATGAGTGGCGAGGAGAAGGGAAGTCCTGAATTGTGCGCATGTTAAATCAGTCTGTGTTTAACACTCGTTCCAGTAGCATCTTAGTGTCGCTTGTGATCACACATTTTCTCAAATTTTTGTTGCATTGTGATATATGTACATGAATCCTCCAGGTCTACAAGTTGAACTCTCTGAAGAATTATGTTTATCAAGATCCAGTTTCTGCCTCCCAACACCACTCCGTTACTCCAGCCCATGACCAGCAAGTTATTTCTAACTTTAAGAAGCTCTACACTAAAACACTCTTCAAGCATTGTTTTCAGGTGACTGAAGGGACCAACCTAACTCTCAGAGAGTTTTGGAAAAACCACTTCCACATCGTTGCCTGCCTCAAGATGATCGACAAGGTGGGGGAAGGGGTTACCAAGAGAACCCTAACTTCTGCCTGGAAGAAGCTTTGGCCAGACAGCTTTGTCGATTTGTGACTTTGAGGGGTTCGAGACAGTACCTGTGGAACCTGTAATCAACCAGATTGTGTCTTTGGCCAATATCATGGGATTGGAGGTAGACAACAGTGATACCAAAGAGCTTGTGGAAGAGCACAGCCAAGAGCTGACCACCCAAGAGCTTATGGAGTTGCATTGTTTCACAGCAAGAAGTTTTGGGGGAAAGTTTGTCAGAGGAGGAGGAGGAGGTAACAGAAAAGCAACAATCTTCTGGCCAAATAAGAGAAATAGTATTATCGTATTTTTCATTAATTTATATGAGAAAAATTGTTTTGCATAACGAGTGTTTCACTTAATGAGTATGATTCTGGAACGAATTATGATCATTAAGCGAGGTTCCACTGTATAAACGGAATGTGTTAGTGAAAAATGTTATGTAAATAGAGTTGAGTTGTGGTTGAAGATCAATATCACAGCTCTCAGGACATTTCCATAAGTTCTCAGTCTATATCTTCAGAGCCAGTAAAGAATTCCAACCCCACTACTACCAGTAGCTGTCTGGATTGTATGTTTGTCTTGCATTTCTTCTGAGTGTGGACTGTTGGCCAGATCCCTTGGTCACTGCCCACTGTATCATTCTCTTCAGACCAGGATAATTAATTGTGCCTCCTCACTGTTCACTGGCTCCAAATGGGGATTTAACAACATCTGGCTTGTCATATAACAAATTTATCCTCAAGTTGTACAGAACCAGCCAGTCTGCATGTTTGTTTCCCCTGCATTCTCTTGGAAAAATATCCAAAGGATGCCAAGTGCCCTGGACTTCTGAAGCAATGCTTGCCACTCTACACAGAGTATACCAGTCTCCACCTTTCTCAGCATGTTCTGTGAGTCAGTTACAATCCCAAATTGTGTATACAGCTGGTTCTCAACTCAATAGAAGGCTGCACTGACTGCCTTTACTTTTATTCTCAAGCTAGATGTTGTGAAATCATAAGCTAGGCTTTAGTGCACTAAGGGACATCCATTTTTTTTGCTATTCCCCCCCTTCCCCGCCCCCCTCCACACCCATTCCCTCTGGCACTTCGTCTGCCCTTCAACACAGAGCCATCAGCAAAGATAATCACATCACCTGGATGAAAATTGCCACGAATCATTTGCTGAACTCAATTTGCAGCATCTGCTGGTCAGTCCCTGCAATCCCAACCCAGTGAAATTAGAAGCCCTGATTGTCACTCAGACCTTTTGACCCACTCCTCAAGCAAGCACACAAGCCTAGCTGTGTCTTTTTCCCATGCCATCCAAGACCTTCTTTTCAGCCTGTGACCATTATCTCTAGATAGAGCTTTGTACAAGAGGTGTTAATTTTCTGCAGCTACTATGATGTATGACAAGCACACAAGCCTAGCTGTGTCTTTTTCCCGTGCCATCCAAGACCTTCTTTTCAGCCTGTGACCGTTATCTCTAGATAGAGCTTTGTACAAGAGGTGTTGATTTTCTGCAGCTACTATGATGTATGACAAGCACATAAGCCTAGCTGTGTCTTTTTCCCGTGCCATCCAAGACCTTCTTTTCAGCCTGTGACCGTTATCTCTAGATAGAGCTTTGTACAATAGGTGTTGATTTTCTGTAGCTACTATGATGTATGACAAGCACACAAGCCTAGCTGTGTCTTTTTCCCGTGCCATCCAAGACCTTCTTTTCAGCCTGTGACCGTTATCTCTAGATAGAGCTTTGCACAAGAGGTGTTGATTTTCTGCAGCTACTATGAGATATGACAAGCTTGCAGCACATCAATCAACTATCAGCAGTAGCTGGTAATGCAAGTATATATCCCATACATATTATCTGGGTATCTTTTGTACATCACAGAATCACCTGCATAGCTTCATTCTGTATGCGTTCAAGTTTCATCAGCTACACAAATTGATATTCCATAATCTATCACTGAGAGGATCAAGTGCTGGAACTTTGTGAACAGCATTCTTTGTTCCATGTCCACTGCTGCCATATTCTTAAGTGCACTGAGTCTCTTCTGGCACTTTGCTGCAACATCCTTCTATGATCCTTGAAGGACCTGCTTTTACTGAAAATAATACTTATATTTATATATCAGTCTGCTCTCTCTTTTGATATCTCTGCAAATGTCAATATCAAACCAATACCTGGAGCTTCTAGTTTTGTACAAAGATGGTTCACTAATATGTCTTCGTATTTCAATCAACATAGTAGGCTGTAAAAATGTCTACAACAGTACACAATATGTTCTGGACAATTATAAGCTATGTTTTTGCAACAAAACAAAGAAATACCCTGAGTAAAACCTGGTGTAGACTTCAGGGTGCACACTAACTAGGGAGCTGAAATAGCAAACCTGAATGACAGCCCAGTGGTCACTTATTCCAATCTTTTTAAGGCATGGATTCTTTGCAATGACCTGGGCTCCTAGGGTGACCCAGCATAAATAAATAATTTTAGAGGTATCAAGAAGTTTTCAAAAAAATTAAGTGAGTCCTGGACAATCGATAGGCAGGTCAAACCATTTCTTGAGGCCTCAGAGATGTGGTTTTACAGAAGAATGCTTAACATATTTTGGACAGTCAAAAAGAGCAACCAAAAGGTTTTAAAAGAGGCGGGAGCCTGAAGACAACTTATCACAGACATCAGAAGGAGACAGTCATCATTTGTCATCTATGTTATGAGAAGAGGGAAAATGGAACATGTGACTATTGCAAAGATCTGTGGAAGGAAGGACAGAGGAAGACAACAAGATTTGATTCTTGACAGTCTTGTGCATGCCAAGTAGTCACTGATCCATCAGACTCAACAACTACATGCCAGGTAACTGTATCCTTCAGGTGCTTGACAATGTTTGTTATCTATGTGTTTGTGTGAGAGAGTGACAAAGAGGGAAGACTGAAACTGGAAAGTTTAACCTCGCCTATTGCATTTGTAGATATGAAATGGAATTGTCACAGAACTACTTGCAGTATTTATGTTGACTTTATTTCCCTTTCAATCGTTTCAATTAATACCATCCTACATGATGCTCAAATGTCAAACACAAATTACTGTAATTAAATTGTACATCTCATTATTATCTCATCCTGTTTCTGAGTGTGGAGGTAAAACACAAAGCAGTAGGGGACTTCTTGTTTGTATGTTTCTCAAAGGGACTGTTACTGCCTGTGTAGTTGTTTACATGGAAGCCAAAATCTCAGTCAGCACAATCAAACATCTCATCCAAAGCGTATTTATTTCCACCCTAAGTTACTTTTGCCAGACATGGTCACTCACAAAAACCAGGAAAGAAATTTAGTAGCCATGGAAATCAGATGTCTGAGAAAGGTTGCTGGATTGACTAGAAGAGACAAATCAGGAATATATTATCTCTCCAACGTTTTTTTTTGGGTCTGCCTAGTGTCTACTTCGTACACTGATACCAAAACCACCGCAGGCTATTAGCTCTCATGATGCCAGTAATTATTGGTGATTTAATCAGATTATGAATTTCGTAATTGATTCTTGCTCTCCATTAGTGAGCTGTTTCATCTTTAGTGGGTCCAAGGATTTGTCTTACATCTTTGTTCTTACAAGTTTAAAATAAGAATTTGTCTCTTTAGTTGTACTCCAAAATTCACAGCCAAATCACAGCTACAGCCATGACAGTGTCAATATGTCCATACAAATATGGGGCTAGTAGTATGTTCCCAATATCTCTCAAGGCTTTCTGACTGGCTTCACTATCATTATGAGACTAACAAACTGTAGGATGTTGTACCAGCTGATATCATTAATGAGGACAAGAGACAAAGGAGGAGATTAATTTTTAGGAACTCATACATCATGGTTTAATAAAGAAGCACATAAATTGATAATTTAGGAAGAGCTGAGGAGAGCTATCATCCCTTGTGCAGTTGTAATATTTTGCCCAAGGAATATATATTTGAATACCTACTTGTGTATATGCGTTCCAAGTATCATTCATGGTTCCTGATAAGTAGTTTTATTATAGTATTATGCATCTGACTGTTATTTGTTACATTTTTAAAAACCTTTCAAAATGTGTTTCCAATAATTTTTTCTTTTAAATTTACATAATTGTACTGCAATCAATGCCTTTTCAACTTGATATGCTTAATGCACCATTAACATGGAAAAGATCCTTTCACTATTGTGCATGTGTGCATGTATGTTTATGTGCAGGTGCGTGTGATGAACATGTGTGTGTTTGTGGTGTGCATATGTATGTCTGTACAAGCTTGTGTTTTTTTACATCTACATGCTTGTGTGCATTTGTGCTGTAACATATAAAAGCAGCTCATTCATACACAGTGAGATAAGTAAAACAAGTTTTTAACACCCTATGAAAGCAATTAGCACTTAACTGTAAAATCTAAAATTGTGCAGCCGGCATATTTACCTTTTTGTGCCATCCCAGATTTGGTTTCATAGCGGTGTATAAGCTCATCTGCTTTTGCCAGTGTATAGTTTGGATACAGTACCTCATTCAGACGTGGATCTCTCTGTTGCTTATTAAGGAAATCACAGAACTGTTGTGTTGTTAAATACGGCTTTTTCTTGGCACCTCTAAATGGTAGAAGCAAAAGTATCATTAAAGTTAAACTATATCATGTGTTCGTTCAAGAAATTAGCAGTGCTGTCTATTAGCAACTATATGAAATGCTGAACATACTAAAAATCAAAAGCTAATTACAACATTTTTATGCTGATTAAACTTGAATTTTACATATCCTAACCAATACTTTAATCATCTGTTTCTTCTTCTTCATCTGCGTTCACCCCAAGATGTAAATGTGTTGTGTCTGTTCACATTCATTCTGTTCATCAATTAGCAGGTCCTTTACAGAACATCACTTTCTTTCTCCAGCCCTATGTGCTTTCATAGCACATGCATCTTTAGTGTCTTGTATCCACATTTGTGAAGGTCTGCCTCTACCTCATGTTTCCGGAAACAGTATCCTCCATAACTATTTCCTCCAGGCCGCTTTGATGTTTAACATGACCAAAATACCTCAGCTTTCAGGAATGCTGTTTATGAGCCAATTTTATTCGATGTACTGATCATGTAGAATGTCAGTGTTTTTCTTCTTTCTTCAGTCAGTGGTATTCTAAGAATTTTTCTGTAGCATTCCATTTGAAAAGTTTCTATTTTATCTTCACTGACTGAGTAAAAGTTCATGACTCACATCCATATGCTGCCACGGGAAAGATGCATGTCTGAATATCACATATTATAAAATATAAACATATGAGAGTACATGAGAATTATTGTGTACAAATTGCTTATTACTTAAAAACTATCAAACATAGTTCTAACATTCTAAGTACCAGTTTCAGAGATTCTTCCTGGATAAAAGGAGGTAAGTCATATCATGTGGCTTTCTCTTTAGTGTGTCATACCTGTTCTAGGAGAACATTCCCATTTCATCTAGGCTGGCTGAGTTTATCTTCACTATTATTTAATAATTTATTCATGACTATGAATTTTGCAGCTTTCTAGGTAATAGGGCAGCTCATCCCAAAGCAAACCCTCCTCCTTTGCATTTTACTACATGCATGGTAGGTTACAATGTTACTATTCCTTGTGTCACTAAAGGCATTGTTAACACAAAACAAGAGATAGAGAACAAGAGTGCACAAGTCTGATTATTCACAGAATGTTAAAGCAAGTTTCAACACAAACTATCAGAGAAAGCTTCAACACAAACTATCAGAGAAAGCTTCAACACAAACTATCAGAGAAAGCTTCAACACAAACTATCAGAGAAAGCTTCAACACAAACTATCAGAGAAAGCTTCAACACAAACTATCAGAGAATGCTTCAACACAAACTATCAGAGAAAGCTTCAACACAAACTATCAGAGAAAGCTTCAACACAAACTATCAGAGAATGCTTCAACACAAACTATCAGAGAATGCTTCAACACAAACTATCAGAGAAAGCTTCAACACAAACTTTCAGAGAAAGCTTCAACACAAACTATCAGAGAAAGCTTCAACACAAACTATCAGAGAATCTCATCAAGTTCTCAAATACAGCAATATACTTTCACAAAACCAGAACTGTTGTGCAGGATTTATTAAAATAACAGGAAAAAAGAAGGAAGAGAACAATTCACATTACATATTATTGCATTTGACAGAGAGACCTTCCTGCCATCATGAAACAATCAGATGAGCATCTTATGTTTACAGAAATACTGATGTCTTCATTGAGGCACATGAGACTGGAACCTGATGCACTAATTTAAAACAAGTGTCAACAACAGTTATGTCTGTTTATTTAACATCAATAAAATACACACAGAATTGGTTGATTACTAACAGCTCATCAAAAATTTTATCCACTTCAGTTCGACCCAACAGATGTCTGTAAAAATTGAAGAAGTTCTCAAAAGTAAATTTCTGTGGGTTAATAGCATCAGTCTGAAACAAAAGGCAACACAAATTTAATTAAATAAGTAACAGTGACAAAAATATGACAATTTCATTGGACAAACTACTACACAATAGATGCAGGAAGCTTGAGATGTTTGAAACATAATTCCTTTGTCTCTGACATTATGCATTAATAATGTTTGTGATTACTGCCATTGTTTATGTTGTATATCTTTGTTTACTACATATAGTGTCATGTCATCAAGTGTGATGTCAACTATTTTGATGGCAGCTTTCTGTCTTTCCAGATGATGTAATATAGTGTGTTTCTGGAGGCATGATATGAAGTTTTTCCTCCTTATAGAACAAATCCTGAGCAGTAGAAAACTTGTGCTGCCCATGCAGCATGATCACCTGCCTTGTCTACACCATGGAAAGGGAAGGTTTCAAGACATTTGGAACAGAGCATCTTCAAAATGCAGCAATGCTCTGTCTGCTTGTGGGAACTTCCCCCTAGACCAGCTTTCAAACAATAAGGGCCTAGTCTGTCTTGCTATAACTCTGCATTTTCAGGTTGCATAACCACTTCCTAAGCTAAGGCTAGTATCATCCCGTGTTCCATGTGGGATCTAGGGCCATCTTTTCTTGGGGGGAAAAAAAAGAATAGACCCACTACTTCCCCGATGTCACAAAAGGCAACTAATTATTGATTTTGTTCACCAAAAGTCAGAGCACATCTGCCTGAGCTATAAGAAACCAACAGTCTGCATACAAATAAGAAGGATCTGTAAAACTGCTGTGCTTGCAAAATTCAGGTTCTGGAACAAAACTGAAGTGCAAAGGTGCACGAACAACCAGAACTTTCCACCAAAGTTGACACAGCATGAACACTAAAAATACGAAGAACATTCTCCTCAATGTGCTTCTTCACCTGAGGCCATAGAGACATGTGGGATGTCTGGTTTGGGATATGTCACCCAACATTCAGCATTTACAAAGAACGAAAGAATAAGTGGTAGTAGCCACTACCTTATACAGTAGCTCAGTCTAAGACCTGCATGTCAACTAGTATTATGTCATTTAGTGTGAATTGATGTCAAGTATTATGACAACTAGTAATATGTAATGAAGTGTGATTTAATGTAATTAAGTGTGATGTTAGATAGTATCCTCTCATTTAGTGTGGTCTGGTGTCATCAGTATCATGTTATCAAGTGTAACTCAACTAGTATTATGTGATCTGATATCATCAAATATGGTGTTATGCAGTATCACATCAAGTGTGATGTCAGCTAGTAACTTGTCATTTAGTGTGATCTGATGTTATCAAGTGTGATGTCAACTAGCATCATGTCATTTAGTGTGATCTGATGTTAACAAGTGTGATGTCAACTAGCATCATGTCATTTAGTGTGATCTGATGTTATCAAGTGTGATGTCAACTAGCATCATGTCATTTAGTGTGATCTGATGTTATCAAGTGTGATGTCAACTAGCATCATGTCATTTAGTGTGATCTGATGTTATCAAGTGTGATGTCAACTAGCATCATGTCATTTAGTGTGATCTGATGTTATCAAGTGTGATGTCAACTAGCATCATGTCATTTAGTGTGATCTGATGTTATCAAGTGTGATGTCAACTAGCATCATGTCATTTAGTGTGATCTGATGTTATCAAGTGTGATGTCAACTAGCATCATGTCATTTAGTGTGATCTGATGTTATCAAGTGTGATGTCAACTAGCATCATGTCATTTAGTGTGATCTGATGTTATCAAGTGTGATGTCAACTAGCATCATGTCATTTAGTGTGATCTGATGTTATCAAGTGTGATGTCAACTAGCATCATGTCATTTAGTGTGATATCTACCACTAGAAGAAAGCTATCCTAATATACTGGCAACAAACTTATGACAGATTACCAGCAAAAGAAGGAGACAATCTAAATTTTGTGGGGAGAGTGGGGAAACTGGAGTACATTGTGAGAATGGAGAAAGTTAGAGGGAAAGAGAAACAAAGTAACACCAAGAGACACACAAAAAACCTATACATTTGGGCATCATGGCATGGAAGAAATCTTTGATACAAAGAACTAAATGTACATAGGACCTAAAGCTGTGGACAGGCATGACTACCAATTGCACAAAGCAAAAAAACAATGTTTTTTCATAAACTTGGCAAGAAAGTGACGCCCGGTTCCATATTCATTCTACATTTCAGTTTATATATATAGTGATTATCAATCTTAAGTAATAAATGTAGATGTGACTCACTGAGTTAATACAATGATAGAAAATGGGGAGAAAATACAGTTCTAATCAGCAAAATCAAGCAAAATGACACTTACTTTTCCAGCATGGAACCCAACTGCTTCAAGAGCCTTCTCAACCTTCTTCCGATCATCTCTGTTACTGGCAATATTTTTTACGATGCTGAAAAACATCAGAAATATAGTAGACATAATCAATGCAAGATAACATTCCCATTCACAATAATTAAAGAAATGCTATTACGCTACCACTGGCAAACATGGACCCTTACTACAACTGTTGAGCAGAAAATCATAACAGAGATGATATGTCTCAGAGGAGCTGCTGGAAGAAAAAGGACAGATACAATTTTATTATCATGTAGGAGGTTCTTTGCAGAACATTGCTCTCAAGAAACTTGGTCTTTTGCTAGCTCTCCTACCTCATGCACTTTCATATTCAAGGAGTCATATCCTGTGCCAATCTTCATGTTGGTTGGCGTCTGCCCCTCCTTCTTGGTACAATGCCTTCTGCTATTATTGTTTCCAATCCGCTAAGATGATATGACCAAATATTTCAGCCTCTGAGACAAAATGGTTACTGGTACCATCAGAATTTTAACTCTTTGCTTGCTGCATAAAATGGAGACGGAGTACTTATGGGGGTGTCCTGAGTGCTGTGATGTTGATTTCTTATTCAACATTCAACAACAGACAAGATGATGTTTATTAGCCAATATTCCTTGATTTTCAGATCTTTTAGGATGTCAGTATTTCTTTTCTTCTTTGTTCATAATATCCTGAGAATCTATCTATAGCAATACAGTCTTTAAGGACTGGGAGGAAACACACAGTGGCTGTCTTTGTCGACCTCCAGCAGGCCTATGACAGAGTATGGAGAAAAGGTCTCCTGATGAAGATGATGAGCATAGGAATACATGAGTACTGCGAATGATGGAAACTCAAGGTTAACTGTGCAAAGACGGTCTACACAGTCTTTACCAAAAGCCACCAAGTAGCAAGGAAGAATATTAACCTGAGGTTAGACAAACACCAAGTGATGAAAAAAGAGCATCCTACATACCTTGGAGTCACACTTGACCGGCAGCTCAGCCTCAAGAATCATATTGAAAACGTAAGGAATAAGGCATTGAGGCGGTTACAGTTATTAAAGAGACTTGCAGGTACATCATGGGGATCAGACAAGAAAACTCTAAGGGGCTTATATCTAGGATATGTTCGCTCTGTGATAGAGTACAACAACTCACTGCTTACAACCTGCTCCAAAACTAACCTAGAGACTCTTGACAGAGTAAAAAATAATGCCCTCCAATTAATCTGCGGAGCTATTGCAGTCTACACCAACTGCTGCATGTGAAATCCATACAAATATGGAACCCCTCGGGTTGCTGAGAGAAAAAGCCACTTTAGAAATTTATGAAAGATGCGTTAGAAAGAATCGTAACCATCCTAAAAGACATCTTGTAGAAAACTGGGAATACAAACAAAGAATAAAGCACAAATCGGTTTTACACTGTGTTCATGAAATTCAGGACAGATACCACCTCCCAGAAAGACGTCAAGGCATTCAGAATGTTGCAAGAAACCTACCACCACATGCTCGCTTTAAAGCTCCAGAAGTCCTAATTAAATTGCTAGGCCAGGAAACCAAACAGTCCGACCCAATCGCTCTTATGAACTCATCACTAAAGACCATTGATTCTTACCCCCAAGAATGGATACATGATTATACTGATAGATCTGCATTTAAAGCTACCATTAAAGCAGGTTACGGAATCTACATAGGTTATTACCTCATACAACATCAGAATAGTGATGCAGTGGATTCCAGGCCACTCCGGCACACCAGGTAATGACAGAGCTGACAGATTGGCAAAGAAAGGAGCAACACAAGAACAACCACCTACAGCAACAACCCTACAGACAACAAAAACACTTATAAGAACTATAAACAAAGAAACTTGGTTGAACAGATGGGCCATGGGAGACACTAGAAGAGAGGTTTATAGACACATGGCTGGCCCTGATCCTAATGACAGCATTAACCATCTAACAAGAAGGGACGAGGCCACCATCTTCAGACTTAGAACACAACATACTCCACTCACTGGACATCTAAACAGAATACAGCCACAACACTCCCCATAGTGCCAGCTATGTAACTACCCCTGTGAAACACCATCTCTTTGAGTGCCCAAAACTCAGTGAGACTAGAAGAATGCTACTCCCTCTGAGACCAGACAAGTGGAACACCTTGTACGGAGGAAAAGAACAACTTATGAAAACATGCAAATTCCACTACATGGCATTGGGACAAAGGGCGAAAGCCCATGCGCCGCTGGATCGATAACAACAACAACAACAACAAGAAGGACTGGGAGATAGTCCACAACTCACATCCACACATACATGTTTTGTTACATGGAAGATACATGCTGTCAAAATTTTAACATTGCTTTTCTAGCTGGTGCTTAAACGATTTTCTAAGCAATAGCCTTTAAAAATCCTTAGCTGCTCATTGGAAAATTGTTTAATTCATAGTTTGGCCTTCTCAGACCTGGAAGAATCAATATTTAACAGAGCTTTATTTCATGATATTGACATGCTTATATATTTGGCTTGTTCATATTTCTCCCCCACATTTTCTAAATGCCTTCTTACTTATTTTGTTTTATTTTTTAGTCCTTTAGTCCTTCATATTCACCCCCCCCCCCCCCCCTCCTCCCACCTCTCTCATTACGAACTTCCTGGTTTCATGCTAAGCTTGGTTTTTTATAAGTTCTACTGTCTTGTTTGTTGAGCTTTCCAGTCACAACTTGTGTTGTATTTAGTACTTCGTTGATTAAAAACTTGGTCGAAACATTCAGTTGTATTTGTATATGTGTTTTCTATTCCCTCCGTTGTGCTTTCTGATCACATTTTATGTTGTATTCAGCACTTCTTATTATTAGCTCAGCTGCAATCATCCCTAATTCATGTCATCACTGACAGCATCAAGAACAATCGTAGAGAAAAGGTGAACTAGACAGAGTACGCAGAAGATCTTTACATTTCATCTGACACTACACAAATGATTCACAGCCATTTTAAAGCAATTGTGCCACTCCTTAATATCTGTGATTCTTATGGCAACACTGGCAAAAGCTTGCTGAATGATTTTCACTTAGTTGTATTTAAGCTTTTGTACAACATATTGAAACACTGTTGCAAATATGAGGAGGACCAGGAGTGAGCTGCAGAAGATAGCAAAAGATAGAATGTGTGAGCTAAATTGGTTGAGGTCATATGCTCAAATGGCAAAGAAGAGAAGAAAAATAAGATATTACTGCAAACTGAAAATCTTTTACAAAGGTTTAAATCAATGTTAACATATGGTATTTGCATTGGACATGTTGTACTGACATAGTTTTATTTGTTGTAGAATACCATTATACACCTATAGAACACAACATTTAACAACTGCTTGTGTATAAAAATAAACATATTGTTTCAGAAAAGTTAGGACAACTTACTTTTTCATGGAAACCTTTCCTTCATTGTTAAGGACCAAATTAAACCGAGTAAACAGTTTGTCCAAATAGGTGAGAGAGCTGCTGTTTGATGCAAGCAGATTGTGTGCATATTTCAGCAACTCGTCAGTCCATTCCTGGAGGCAACAAGAGATGAAAATGCACATTGTAATAGTCTTTTTGCATAATTTTACTTTTAATTCTCATCTTCTATAATTGCTACATCTTATTAAATGACACAAGCGTACAAGGGATCATAGAAAAATTAATAATCCTAGCTAGCTCATTTTAAAAACAAACAACATTACTCATAAATGTATTTATGTCTGCACTAAATATAACTGCATGAATTTCTTAAATGTTTCAAAAACTCACTTGAGCTGCTTCTTTGTTGGCACACACAAAGTGGACAAATTCTACATTGACCATGTCTTTTCCATAGACAACTGTTACCATTTTGTCTTCTAGGGGAATATCTGACTGACCAATCATTAATGAGTCTCTTAGCTTTTGATCCTAAAATTTCAAAGAAAAACATAACAGTAGTAAGTTACAATACTACTTAAACAAGTATGTTAAACAAGACAAGCAGCTGAGCACAGATACATGCTATGTTTTGTCACAATACAAATTTTGCTTTGAACTTGACCATTATGTAGATCAGTCACAAGCTGATGACTGTTGGCACTGGTCATCATGTCAGTCCACAGTCTTCAACTCGGATTCTGTCAATCATTTTTGCTATAGATATTTCTCCATGTCACAAAGCTAAAGAGTCAAAGACTTTCCTCAGCCTCTCCTTCCTCAACCAACTTTCCTGTTGTCATGTACACATTTACCTCTTCTCATGACATGCCCAAATAAGGTAGAATATATTTTACTGATGTAGGTAACCAGTTTTGTATGTAAGTTACTTTATTTCAAGACATTTTCAGTAGACTTGTTATCTGTCCCCAGTGTTTACGTTATACAACTCTTAAGTGGCTCTCTTTCTTCCCTTAGTTGACAAAGATATATTGCAAAGAATATTCTTCATCCTGGGAAAAAAGTTGCTTCTGCATTGAATATTCTAGATTTAACTTTTTATGAATGAATGAATCAATCAAGAACTGACAGCCGTGGACTTGGAAACTCTCACATGTTCTCCATCTCCTTCTTCAGTTGCCAAAGAAAAGTTGATATGCTAATGACACCTGTTGCAACCTGATTAAAAGTGTGCCTATGTTTTCCCCATTACATCGAATATCTTCCAGACTCCCTGCTGACCCCTCACTGAATTAGACTTTGAGTTTATGGATGCTTGGTCTGTTCTGCTGCACTGTCCCCTTGATCTCAGTAAGCCTTTCCCATATTTGCTTTATCATAACATAGCTCACCACTCAGAAGAGCAGCAACAGCCAGTTTATCAGCTTGCTTAATACCCTGCACACCTAAACATCACAGAAAGAAAATCCACAATATTCCCCTAATCAGTCTTATCAAGCAAAGCAAGCAACTCTACATGTAGTATGCCAGTTTATATTTTCCAAAACATTCTCTGTGAGTCTGTTACAATGACCACATAGTGGGCTGTGCTGCTCTCAAGCCATCAGAAAGTTGCTGTTACTGCCTTTACCTCCATTCTCATACTGGATGTTGTGTCATTTGTGATGAAACCACCTTAGTGATTTCAGAATTTAGTATGTTTAACAATTCCTTTGTGTAATAAAGAAACTTAGAATTATATTTACCAAGCATTAACTCTAAATACTAAAGCCATGTGGGATTAAAAATCGTTTCCAGTTCTCAAACCAAACAAAGAAACTAGTCCTAGGCTAAAATTACATAATATTAACAGCCAGTCCACCTGAGAAAACAGAGATGTCAGGGATATTGCATAATCAAGCAATCTAGGCCCACTGAACCTGCCAACTCAGGGAAACTAACTTAGGCAAGGGAGAAAGTCCAAATATGATGGCTCCATTTGACTTGTTTTTCACACCCTTTATTTGCACTGGGTAGAACCAGATTAGATCCATTTAAAAAAGTTTAATCAGTAGGTGCAGTCAATAATGATTGACAGCCACAAAGAAAGACAACTGTAGTTTTAAGAACCTCAGGGGTGGGGCTTTAAACCTCTCCTGATGGAAAGAGTTTGATATAGGTAAGGGGAGGAGCTAAACTTGAATTCAATTAAGACTGCTGACAGCATGCCCCTGACTAACAGTTACACTAGTATGTTATCCTAGCTGTGTGTTTTTCTGGCAATGCTGGAATTTTTCCAGTTGCCGTCTGGACAAGGACCAGTCAGCACTTATCATAAGCAGATGGTTCAGTGTACCAACCTACATTGTGTAGCGACCTCAACATGCTGTAAAAGGTTAGGTCTCAAACTGAGATCTGTTTGAGGTTTATTTTAATAAACATAAACTGTAACCCATTCCTCACCATGCCCTATCTTGTCAGAAGCACAAACAGTTCTTAAAGAATGAGTAAAAAATATTTACTGTAAATGTAATCGTCCACAATAGAGATTAGTGAGTACTACCACAAGTAATAAAAGATAATAGATAACCACAAAAAAATTAAATGCACATACTGAGAAGAAGAACACAGATATAGTCACGAACAAAATGATCCAACCTTTGGTATTTTCACTTGACTGCCAGTCCTTGTGTCACTGATGAGGGCAATGTCCAGAAAGTCCATTTCCTAGAGCATGAACAAATGATAAAATATTTGCTGAATTAGTTGTATACATTTGCTTCTTCAACACAGTGAAATGTGTCTGCCTGTCACACACATCTTTATAGGTAAAGACTTTTATATGTATGCTTAACCATGCTCATAATATATTATTGTAATGTTTACACACAGTATGTCCAGTTAAGTAACTATTTTGACAAGCATGTACTCAGATATATTTCATAAAGTCATTAAAAACATAGATATATTTGCCTGAGTGCCATCAAGTACACCTACCTTATTCTGGTCCCTCCAGTACATTATGTAGCCTTTTTCATCAACTTTCATAGTGACGGGTGTTCCAGTTGTTGAATTCTGCAGTAAAAAATAGAAGACGGTTTGACAGTGTAACTCTTCAAGTCCCAGGGGGTTTAGCATCACAGGCCCAAGGGGTAGTCAAGAGAGACGTTACATCGGTGCATCATGCATTCATTGGGCCTCTAGGTAGGAATCTATGAACGTATGATGCGTTCCTTGGGACTCAAAGAGTTAATTATTCCCAGCAAAGCCTTGTTACCTTGAAGCTACAAATTCATGTTATATTAAAACTAAACCTTCACTATTAAAATAGTCCATATCCTGCTGTGTTGTATGAAATATCACAAACATACAGAAAGCATTTAATCTCATCCAGACAATTGTGACATTTTAACTTACTCAGCCTTTATTATATTTTTCATTCATTTTGTCATTGAGAGTTAACTAACCTGACTCACAGTGTTCTGGTCATTGTTGTTCCACCTAGTTATTTAACTCTTTCTCATTAGGACACATTTTTTTTTATTTAAAGTAACTACCGAGACAGAATTGGTTCATATAAGAAATTACAATGCAAAAATGAGAATCACAAGAGTAAACTAATAGAGATAGGCCTACTTGAATTCATCATATATGTAAAATAATGTGTCGTCTTATTGTTATAGTACACAACAAAGATTTTATTTGTGTCTATGATTAAGACACTGACATATTCACAAGTACATATAGTATGTACAAGCATAAGATGTAAAAGATGTCAACAAAATGGAGTGGTGAAAAATGTTAGGGTCTTATTTACACCATTGGCGCATTGGAATTTACTTCCCAGAACATTTTGAAAAATGAGTATAATCGGGAACAAGTGCTTGCAGAAAATGTAAGTCATTGACTGATCCAGAAAGTTGAGTTAGGTTTCATGAACAGGCAGGGAACTGAATCCCTGCAGAACACCCCACAATTTTAAAGTTATGAAAGATTACTTTCTCTATTCAAATATTTGTTTCAGTATTTAAGTTCAAATCAATTTGAGGCCATCAAATCAAGCTACAGCACGCAGTTAAAACAAACTGAAATATAAATATTACTGTGACTGCTTCATGAGCTTTGCTAGTAAAATAGAGAAAAGTTTATTTTTACTGTGAAAAGTAACAAATATTACTTTCAATATTATAACTGATATTTTAATGATACTATAATATGAACATTTTTTTGTCTATAAGTATTTTTTTCTTACTTCTTAATTAAGAAATGGCCATTATTTACTCAATTCATATTAGTTACCCTACCGCTAACCTACAACATAAGACTTTGCCCACTAGCATGTAAATTAGGGTTAACCTCCAAGAATAATTAAGGTAAACTTAGGAAATTCAGTTGGGGGAAGGGGAAGGGGAGGGGGGAGTTTGCAAATCTTATAATAAACATAAAACAAGATACATAGAGATAATATAAACAATATAAATGAAAGTATTATAGTGGACTTGGGCAGACAAACATCCACTGGAGGTCTGATTTTCCCTTCAACAGATCAGCATCTTGCAGTTAGAAGTCCCAGTCCTATGCTTGTTAATAAGACTCCTTGAAAGTCCTGTGTGCCTCTCGTTCATTACTGTACCGATCTTTACTCTCAGTTGGTGAATTCTCAGCAGTGATGTGGATATGCTGTTCCCAAAATCCTCTTCCCATCTTAAGGCACTAACAATATCAGAGCAATCTATAGATCTCTGCTACTACAGCAAAACTGACCAGTTTATCAGATCTTTCATTATTTTAAATAATGGCAACTGTCATCCAATAAATTAAATAAAATGAGAAGGCTGAACAAATGTGCATCTATATTTATCTGTGAATCAGTGTAGATATAAGTGAATTCTGAGGAGTGGGGTGTCATGAAATTAAAATACATCACAACAAAAACTACAGCCTAATCACGTGCAGTCTCCATCGGTTTTTTTCCTTAGACAACGAAGTCCAATATTGTTCTTTTCCGTTAATGTGTATTTCACTGTTATTTATCTTCAGTAATACGTGCAGTCTGTTCACACACTAGTGATATCAGTTCTTTTGTCTGCTTCTTTATCTATACACGGAGAATAGTTTTCAAATAAGTAATTGTGTGAATAATATGACCAAATCAGGAGAGGCTCAAGATTTCAAATCTAATAAGAGTAATTCTTTGTAAGCTACAAAAGATTAATGATAACACATTAAGTGTGGACGAAGATCAACAAGCCGAGGACATACGAGGAGACCTGGAGTAAACACTTAGTGAAATACATAAAACATGTAAGCACAGCTAATAAGTCTTGGACTGAGCCACTACAATGAAAAGCCAGACTAAAAACAACATAACAGGCAGAGAGAGGCTAAAAGATTATAAATGACCAAGGAAGTTGAAATAAGACAGCAAAGAATTAATGGATACGAACTGTAATTGTTATTTATCCCCCTTAGAACTTGAAGGTATAACAGGCATATTTCACAAAGAGGACGAAAAGACAGCCTCCCTGCAATGTTTGCTTCTTGAGCCAGCCATAAGTGTTTCTATGACAATACCTCAGCTGAATGATGACAGTGCAATCAATACAGCTACACATTTTCATATTGCTTATCTTTAGCAAACCACAAACCTCCAGTAATTAGATTTATAAGGCGTGTGCACTGTGAATGCATGCATTTTTAGTTTTTTTTTTAAATTGAAGCACAATTAGTATTTGCTTACTGAAAGAAGCCACTTGGAAGGAAGACATACCCTCTGGTGTCTGTGTTAATGGCTTATATTTGTTGTTAACATCATTATTATCAAGCGTCTTGCTGACTAATATAGGCGAGCAATTTCTAACCGCATGTACCATTTCATATGCTGACATCTTTTCAAGCCGTGAGAACAGGCTGTCAACATTCTTCTAATATTGTCTTCCTCTTTCTATTGTCTTCTCCAAGGGAGCAGAACTGGTCTTGCAGTGGATACCAGCTCATTGTGGTATTCAAGGAAATGAGACAGCAGATGAGTTGGCAAAAGCTGGGAGTAATCTTCCACAACCTCATCCACCACACAGCTACAAGGAAACCAAAACAGCGCTAAAGCAGTCTTTCAAGCGGGAGTGGAGAAGGCAGAATGGAGATTACAGACCAGAGAGTGACAGCATAAACAAACTCAACAGGAAAGAACAAACATAAATTTTTAGACTTCGGATGGACACTGTGGTCTTCGAGCACACCTGTACAAGATAGGTATAAGAGAATCTGCTGCCTGTGATTGTGGAGCAGAAAGACAGACCCCTGAGCACATACTGCAGTACTGCCCTTACCTCTCCCAGCAAAGACTGTGGATCTGGCCCAGGAGATCCACATTGCGAAAGAAGCTATGGGGGAACGGTGGCGACCTTAAACGCACTATCCTATTTGTGACCCAGACGGGACTCAATGTTTAGTATGACTGATATCGAACGCAGAAGAAGAAGTCTTCCTCCTCTTTTTCAATTAATATTTTCCAGTCACATGTTCCAGTTTTTATATTCCAGATATTTGCCTGCTTTGGTAACAAATATTGAATTCATTATTCCTAATATTGATAATCTAAAGAATACTGTACATCATATTTCAACAGTTTATGAGAAAACGAAGCCAATACCAATTGATAGCTCGCTGATATACTTTTCGTTCAGTTTTATATCGTTCCCTGATAATACTAATTGCTACCGTTATTAAGACATCCAAACATAACTATGCGTGCTATAGTCACATTTTTCGCATTAGTTAGGCGAACTGAGTTGTCTCAAGGCATAGTGTTAGAGGTCCCGGGTTCAGGCCCCGGTGAAGAATTGGATTTTTACGTGGTTTTCTAGTAATTTCCCCATGATCTCTGGGTAGTAAGACCAGCGTCCAGCCCGTGTGTACTGTTGCGCACGTAAAAAACATCTCTTGGCAGTTGAAAATCGAAAAGAGTAGCCTAACGGCGTTGTCCGGCCAAATTTGAATTTTAAAAAATCTACCCAAAGCATTTCAGGATCCTCGCCTATGCAACAGAGTTCGTGCATTGCGCTGAGATTCTTCGTACTCAGGCCTGAGTTAGAAGAAGAACGGAGGAGCACTTATGGGTTGCACGCGTGTGGCATGATGTTGATCCGTTGAATAAAACAAAAACCAAAAAATTTAAAAAAAAAAACGAATTAGTTATTTAGGTCACAAAACTAACAAATATGTCAAGAGACTAAATATAGGAATTTGCAGGACACCAGGGGCCTTTCTTGACAGTAGTGAAACTTTGCAAGCTAGCTTGGTTCAGGCACCTGGTGAGACATGATTCGATTGCAAAGAACGCTGGAGTTAGTCGCAGACGAGAATGGCAAAGAAGAACCTAGAATGAAAACATCAAGATATGGACAGGACTAAGTTAACATACACTTATTCATCAAGCGTGCTTGTGCTTCGATACACCTCCACGACCCTAACGGATCAAGGCTAAAGTTATGTTATGAGTGCAAACAGATTATAAACAGCATATTCATCAACTGCGAGATCAGAGGCCTATGAAAAACCGCCACCCTAACCATTTGAAATCGAGTGAATAATATTATCCGAAAGATTGTTGGAACGACACCTTGGACTAGATTAATCGAAAAACAGCTGATCTAGTGGTTTGCTTATCTCATTAGGATGCAGCAACATCAAGTACCATCACAATCACTACATCTCTGATCAGCTACATGAGCAAGAGGACGGCCACGCAAAAAAATGAATCGACACCATTAAATATACTTTAAGCCTTCACATCATAATAATAGTCGGTGCCAGCCATAGTACACTGGGTCGCAAATTGTTCCACGGTGCCTTACAGCAGAAATGGTCTGTAATGATGCTAACGATGTTGTGTATTTACTGGACGTTGCAGAACCAGTCCCAGCATTTTTTGGCTGTTGTAGTTTTTCTAGGCAAATTTTACGTTCAGTAGTTTGTCACTGCTTGCTGAACGATCAGCTCTCGGTAATACTGTCAAAACTAGCGAGCTGGGGTCAAACCCGGCCCCG